TCTTGAATAAGTTGTAAAATGACTGCTGATCTTTGCACTAATATTCAAGGGGGTTTGTGGTCACTGTGAGACTAATTATTGGTTTTTTAGACTGAGTAATCTCTTTCTACCTACATGGATCACTGGGTGCCCCATCAGTTAACAACTGTTAGTGCTTTCACAGCTTTGTTTGTGTAATCGTCTAGGTCCATAAAATATGCGAATGAGTTCAGCAAGCAATATTTTGAATGACACATTTCACTAATTATTCTATATGCGATAACCATAAGCGGTTTATTGGTATTCAGCACTGCACCTGTTCTTCATCATTCGACTATTTCCATGGATAAGTGCACCAGGGTAACCAATGCGTACGATAGATGTCTTTACATTACGGACGTATTGCAATATTCTGAAAAACGTACTGCCTAACTCGTAAATGTGTTTAAGCTGTGTTCCAGATTGTTGTTATCAAATAAATGGCTTCTTGTTTTTCTTGGTCCAAGGATAATGTATCCGAATAAATGTTAGCATATTGTGGCTTTTATTAGAGATAAACAAGTCAAGTTAGGTCAATAAACGCTTTCATGTGCTCTATGTAGGATGAATTTGTAAACACATACGTGATTGACAGAAAAATTTCAAAACAATGCGAGGGACTTACTAGAATGTGCAGAGGAATGAAGCAGCACATACCATCTGAATAATGACGAGATCGTTGACTGCTTGGTCGTGGTCTACGAGGAAGCGAAAAATATATGGGCTGAGGCTATTTTCACACGTACACATGCGTGATAAGAGAAATAAACGGCATTAGAGAGCGTGTTTTGAAGGTGACTATTTGTGTCAGAAAGTATCCCATTTGTGAATTCGTCACAACTGTTTAAATGCTTGATAGAGTCTGTTAGAAAATTCCAATCAGCAGTGCCACAACAGGAAAGCAATTTCAGATTTCTAGTTTGATCAGGCTGGGGTATCCTGTAACAGAAACCTGGTTGTGTGGTTTAGAGACATGATCTTTTTGCCTTCTCAGGGATTCGAGCTATGGAGTAGCTATTCTGTCGTTGGTAAAACAAGAAGTCTCCATAGTACAACACAAGTAATAAATACCCTACTCAGTGTCATCGTAAACAGGTCTAGCGGGCCGAGATAGCAGTCGAAAGAAAACCACGAAGTAACAATGAAAAGGGATCTTCGAAGAAAAGTTATGTTGGTGTGTGACAGATTTCTAGATGGTACCTTTATTCGTTTTGTTCTTACGACTAAACTGCGCGCTGAACATGAGTAATCTTCGGGTCTGATGGTATCGAGAGCTGAGTCACTCGTTGAAACAGGAGCTTTCAGTTGTAGTTGAAAGTTGGGAACGGTTTGTGACAATTCCGTCTAAAACAGCGTTCCATTTATTTGGGATGGAATGAAGGTCACTGAAGCAAAAAACTAGTGGGGGATCCGTAGATGCATGGATAAAATCGCCAACAACAAAGCATACACATTGAGACAAGAATGGAATCAGGACTGATAGAGGAGTGTCAAAGAACAGGTCCTTGTCCCCCCGGGAGCAGAAAGGAGCTATATACAAGTTACTGAACACAGGGCCTCGAAAACGCGCGAATTCTTGGTGACATTCAACAACTACGCAGTCAACACCAATTCAAGTAAAATCGAAAATAACTTCACATATGCCAGATTACTCGGAATCGATGTAGGCAATCGTATCACCACATGTCTTCTTATAGCCGACCAGCTTGCTTGATTTCCCTTATCTAACTTGATATTGTCGAGGTTTCATGGAAAAGAGTAGTGGATACTGAAGCAAAAAAACTGTGTCTCTAATCCGAGCGAATGATTTTTAGGAGTAGCAAATTCCGAGTGAGGAGCTGATGTTGAGAATAGTTCCAAAGTGACACTCATCAGGTTTACAACAAAATGCAGCTCAGCCCACCGTGGTGCGCGCCGTATGCTTGCTTAATTCAACGTCCGGGAGAAACGTTCGACGAAAACTGTCAGCGCGACTCGTGCCAAATAAAATCTGTATGTCCAGTTCACGTACATTTGCTAAAGTCAAAATTGGGAAACCATGACCTCACCGACCTTCTGATCATGAGTAGGTTCCGTTGTATTTTCCTCCAAGTCAACTTGATTACTTAAATGTTAGCTAACGACAATTGCTTCTGTAGTTATACAAAAATATTACCGGTATGGAGAGGACGCGGAATTATTGGAGTGGCAGGACTTCATCTTCAACCTTGGACAGCCTTTGAATAAAAGGTAGCTTCAGAAGAAGAACGTATATTCAAATCACCTTAAATTACAAACTGAATTGCAATTTTGGAAAAGGTATCTCTGAAACTTACAAGAGTGAGAGACATACTTGCGTGATAGTTAAGATTGCATCAAGGCTGATGCTTTGTGTTTTTATTAGTCCACTTATTCCCAAATTTGTTTCCGAAAGTCCCTGAATAACATCGTGTTACTTATGTTTCATGGTTGACAACACAACCTGCTCTTTTGTCATAAACGAGGTGGCTATTTGTTGGCTGAGGTTACCACCGCCGGTGAACAGCTTCGCGGTTTTTTCCCTCTGTTATTCCCATGTACTAACATGGGATAACAAAATGATGGCATTCGAAATAGTAAAGGTTTTGAACAGGCAATTTCGACGACATTATGCCGGTAGTGATAGTGCTGAACCCGCAAATATGAAACTTTAGGAAACTATCTGGCATAAACTTGATGATTTTTGATAACGGCATACTAAGACGGATTTTTTCTGAAGTTGGCCTGATGCAGTTGAACAGCATGCGTCTGTGTATTTCCACGCTCTTCTGCTCACCGGTACATGGTTGTCGGTATGTACGTTCGTCCAGGTAACAGTTGCATTTGCATGCCTAATATCGAGCTACCTAATGGTCAGATGGATCAAACAAAACTGATACTTCTGGACATTCTCCTCCACAATCAGACGACATCTTAACACAATTTTTCTATTCATTCTGCTGCCCGCGATGTCTTTGTTGCTCTGGTACTAACAAAACAAGACTCGGAATAGGTGTGTCTGCTACCACCATTGTTCATTATTCGTGTTTGAGAATTGAAGATTTTCCTCGCACAGTAATCGTTATTCTCATGTCAGCCTTAGACGCGATATTCGCACATCAGCGACTGGAAATCAAGGACAGTGCTGGTTTTCAGAAACTATTCAAGCTAGTGTTTAGAACGCATGACAGAACATGCCAGTTTTTTTTGTACTGACGAGCATACCAATCTTTCTTGTCGACTCAATAGCAGCCATACCATGAACTGAATAATAAATAATTATTTCAATTTCACTGTACCACCAGTACATACACTAATGACGTAACGTGTGCTAACCAAACCTCTACGGAAATCAGTTTTTGGCAGAAGCGATTGAATCGATCATCAGTCTACGTCTGAGCCACCCGGCGGTGCTCGAATCTCAAAGGTACATAGCTACTGACCTTATTAAACGGGACACGCGTAAAACAGATTCATCCAAAGACCGAGAATGCGGACGTCATGCGCCTGTTACCAATTGTTGCAGTCTCGCATAAACCTCTCCAACATATTATATGACTTCAAGTTGATTCATTCACTTGCTGATTAAAATACTCGCTTTGAAATAATCCTGTATTGCAAACCTTTTTTTTCGCTTGAGAATATTTAGGATGTAAAACAAACAGTTACCTGACAAAGAACAAATGTCTGTGAAAGATTCTTATATGCAGAAGAATAAGTAAAAAGGTTTCGAACTATGTACCAATAATTCTGGAATGATTGCGTGTAATTTTCTTCCCCACAGTTATGTGTAAAATGAACTGCTGACTTTTCTGCTACTTGGAGTACTCAGGAATTGTGCTTCGTCATTTGAACATAATAATTTCAGGGAAAAATTGTAAGTATTGTGGTACAGTAAAACCCTCTTTTGAGTTTTGAAGAGTTCCTCAAACCAACACCCACAATCATAACAGATGATCTGTATCTGCATTCGAGAATGTCAGTCAAGGCATATTCGTCCCACTTTTTTGTGTATACCATCTCGAATGAGAAAACCTTGGAACCTATTTTTCAATCTCGTTCAAGTTTTCATAATAATACGATGTTTCGCCCAGCTGTAGTTTAGTTTTATCCTGTGATATCTCATAAATTAATTGCTTAACGTGTTATCGTGATAAATTGTCTTGTATTCCTGAACTCTATCATGGAATTCGTTGGACCGATTGTTCAACTGGCATAGGACAGTGAATGACTTGTGTCCACAAAACCATTGGAAATAATACACAGTAGCTGCATGCTTAAACGAATTTGTGATTTCCCCACCAAGAAACATATTCAAATTTTAGATGCATCCCATTTAGTAAAGCAATTGGTACCATATCCCCAGGTCAGTGTTCCGCTACCATATTGTAGTGAAACAACGCATTTGTGGAAAGGTTGTACTCTAATTTTGTGTCATATGTTTAAATTTTCTGAAATTTGTGGTTCACATGTTGTACATCTTTGTGTATCCGAAATGTGACTGTCTACAAATAGTGTCATTTATTGAAACCTTCGATATCAGGGTCCACACGTTCAAACTGGAACAGAGCCACATTTCATGTAGAGTGGATTGATATGGAAGTATTCACTAATAAATGGCCAAAACCCAGCCTGAAAACAAAAAAATATTGGAGGATCTTTTACTCACATTTGCGTACGCCCACGTAGTTGAAACTAATGCACAAAGAAGGACAGGCCATCAAACTCTGGTCACTAATTGGATGAAAATTGAAATTATCTGCCAACAAAAAATTGTTCTTGCCGTAGTGGTTACCACGTAGAGTAGAACCACGAAACCAACCTGGCACTGACACTTGATCAGATCGCAACTTAGCGAAGAAAAAACTACATCGAGTCAAATGTTTCTGATGTATATCTTCGCCACCTTCTTCTGTCAAACCCTCTTGATTGAATCAACTGGAGCCCATTCGAAGCGATGCACAATCGAGAAGAAAAACCACAATATGACTGTTCAGTGTGCCGTTGATCAATCTTTATACAATCGATTTGAACGATGCCAACATAACCCGAAATATCTGGGAAGTGCTGAACATGTCCATCAAGCATTAGTCAAGATATGTAAAAATGAATGCAAAACTCAACCAAATCTTTTGATACTGATCGACACCGTAAGTTGGAATCTGTGAATTACCTCCTGAATTTGCATACTAAACATTTGTGATTTGGTACCTTTTCAACTTGAGTTCGATCCGTGAGTATTTTTCTTCTATCTATAAATCATCTTGGCTAGGTTTCGAATCATGAAAGCGATTTCTTCTCCAGTTTACTTCTGTAATGTACGATTTGTCATCTTCACAATCTTACTTCACAACTGATTACTTTTGCCGGCTCAGAATACCTCATCTCATTCAGGACTTGATCGTTCGTTTTGACGCGTTTATTTGCATATATTTCTCGACGGTCCATTCGTAGCTGACTCACACGATTTGATGTAGCACAAATTGTAATATCGCTCATCTGAACAACGGTAGTTTTGAGCATTCACCTACGTTTTGTTTGTTCCTACTCAAACTACCCACGAGATTATCATCTAATATTGAGAATCTCAGTGACGGAATGTGTTCCAGTTCCGGACAATAACTAAATATACCACCAATTATATGTGCAAAGTGTGCTTCGAAGCCAATAATATAATCGGTGATGAACGCCGCATTATTCATTACTCAGAGCCTACAAAAAATGTAATTGATTATTCAGAGAAGTGAAAGGTCAAATATTGTGCGGTTGTAACGAATCATATTTTTCAGTGAAAATAAGGACACAAAAGGTTGCTTCATTGCTAACATCGATTTTCTAGTTCGGAAATATAATACATCAAGCTAGGCTTTTAGAGAAAGGCGGCCAGTTATTACCCGGGGTCTGAAATGACCTCATCTTGAGTACTTGTCAACAGGGCACTGAACAATTTGCTGCGCAAGTTTTTTTTTCGAATTTGTTACACCGGAATCTGCGGTTTAAACTGAAACTTTCGAAAATCATCCAGGTAATTTATTTAGGTTACGTTGGTAGACTACGGTTCAATGAATGACTATTCATCATAATCATGCCATTAGATCACACTATAATACGACACCTTTGCAAACAGATATTCTGAATGTGTTTTGTGTGATACTTTCATAACTTAAAACGGTTATCGAACCGTTTAGTGAAAGCCATTTTCGAGTAAACCGTCCATTGGCACAGCACAATTATCAACAAGTCCCGAAAAAAGGTGAAATGGTGGACAACCAACACCAATATTTGGAAAAGATTGCACATAGTTGGCTTGTTCAGTAATATTAATGATATTGATGCGGAGTGATTTGAGAACAACGTGGGAATTTTCAATTGTTCCATTTCTTGCAATTGAAGGTTGAAAGTTTCATTTGTTGCGCCATCAACCAATCCCTCGATTGCTGCGGTAAGTACGTTTTCTGACTGAGAGTGAATATTATTTGTTTGGTGGTATATTTGAATCGATTGTATAGGATATTCCATTAGTCCGTGCGGTTGCCGCATGTGAAATGCATTTTTAGGACCTGATTAGATTCGCAACCATCCTTGGAATTATATCTGCACTTAAATTGTATTGTATAAAGGTACGACTTTCATCGCACATAATCCCTGTGAACGCCGTTTTTGTGCCAAGAATTTGTCGATCATGTGTACGGGAGATGAGCTTTCACAACCCTTGAGAGTTATGAAAAAGTATTGATCTGGTTCTTTTTCTCGCTCATTTTGTTTGCCCATCCATCACTTGAAGGGAAGCACACTCATAAATGAATTGCTGCATCTATTCCAGTTATGTAATCGAACAATATTTCTTTTGCTCAACATCTACGCCTCCGTTTCTGATTTTCACCCATAATATCTACTGTCTGACTTGTTTCCAATCACGCTGACAACACTCATATTTTCTTTTGTAAAATTTCAAAATATTTGACTATTTCTCAAAATTTACGATCTGATTATCTGAAGCAATCGTCCAGTGTTGTATCATTTTGAATGATTCTCAGCAGTATGTTGCCAATTTCTCTCAAATATTTGTACAACATCAATTTGTTGAAGAGAACCCTGCATGGTCCTTTTGAAAATGTATGGTGCTGAAAATATATCTGTATATTCAAAAGCGAATCTATTTGCAGAATAAACCCGAGAGGTAAATTGAGTGAACTGTTGTGATACAATTGCTCTAATTGAGTAATCTCTCTTCAAAACATAGTGAAGCCTTCCCAGTATACTATGGACATAGTGTGAATACGCGTACCTCACGTGCCTTTACCGCACATGATCACATACACTGTGATGTACGTTGTGCTAATACTCAACGATAGTCCGAATGTAAAGTAGTAGACAGTTTATCCGTTCTTCAAACTAATGTATACATGGGTTCCTATATCTCATTCGTTTGCAAGAACCAAACCAAAATGGGCGCAAATTTGGATTTTTCATCAAGATGACGAATTTTTAGGACAGACGGTATATTTTTGAAATTCGCAAAAACAACAATCATTCACACATCATTTTGTATTGGTAACCAAAAAAACAACTACCTAAAAGGAGTATGGGTTTGGGTTGAATAAGTTCGTCCCTGTTCGAGCATCTTGTTGAGCACTTGAAATTTCATTCCTGGTAAACACATTAGAATGCATATTTCAACATTAGTAATCTGGCCGTCGTTACCTTTGTTGCTGAATGAATCAGTGTCAACTTATTCATGGAATCTCGTTACGCAGAAAAATATAACATGCAAATCGGTGATTGGGAGTATACGTAGAGATTATATAGCCGAAGCCAAGTAAATCACCCAGAAAATCCAGTGTCATGCCAAGGAGCTGGAAACAAATGGTCCGTGTACCACTAGTGTGAAAAAAATGTATTTGAAGTATGTGAAGAGGAGAACAAGTAACATTGTAGCATAGTTGTAAAAGTTCGGGTAGCTGAGCCATTTGTTATGCTCAGGACAACAAGAACGATTATACGTCCTTCCCTTATGGCACAGTTTCGTTCTTTTTGGCTCTTTTTGATGTCCTTCTGAGTGATATGAAGCCTTGAGCGTCAACTACTGCCGCGCATTTCATATTGATAGTAGCACCCTGCATTCGTCAAAGACCTATAGCGCCACAAAATTTGGCCGCAGTTGTACACGTATTCCCGAACATTTTGTGACCAGAGTTCGCTATCTTAACCCGGTTATGTGATCCGTAGGTGGTCGACTACAAAACCAGCACACTGATACAGTACTTTTGTTTGATTTTTGCGTTCAATTGGGGGGAGGGTTAGTGGACAAATCAGATGAAATCAAGCTGCAACCACAAGCTGATTTCGAGGATAACAATGGGAAACGAGAGCTGCAGTGCGGTTTCAAAATGACAAATGTTTCCCGATTTGAGTGAGTAATAACAGTTCCCGCCTGGTGACTGTTTTTTATATCGGGTCATATATATGTTAGACTTCTGTTTGCATGGATCTTTGGTAGACATCCAGTTATCGTTTTCGATAACAAAAGGTACAAATTTGCTGGTAAAAATATGTGCCAGATTTTCTGTAATTTGTGTTAGTACGAAATCATCCACGAAAAGCGTTTGCTACTAGCCTCATGACATCGGTATTTGGCGGCGTGTTCAGGTAGGTGTGGAAATGGGAGTTAAGCTACGAAACTGCACTGCTGTCACGATAGTAATGCTGAATTTTAATTTCACCAGTTCCGTGTCAATTGAATTTTGTTAACTCAAGATCAGCACGAATTTCGGAGGGTTCATGGAAAAGAACTACCAGAGATCAAGGTAATAACTCCAATATATAGCATTCAATTTCTATGGGTTGCTTATCACAAAGCAATCGACATAAATTGGTCCGTAAAGAGAAGCCGTCGGTCGTAAATTCGCTCGTTGGGCGGAAAATAATCTGTTAACTTTCGAAGTCACCGTCGGAGGGAATCCGCAATACTTTATGTTAAAGTCCGAAAATCCATTGGGAGACAGTCCTGATAAACCGGTGGCTAAGGCGTTCCACTCACAATCGTTTCCCTAAGGTTCCAGTTCGTTTGGGGGCCTAATGGATCTCTACTGCAAATGATTCCTAGAATGAATGATCCATCTGTACAGTGAGTTGCACGTCATCACTACGTGATGTATCATAGTGCTAACCTTTGCCTTCATCTATTCACTTTACAAAGTGTCCATTCCGTTCTAAGTACTGATCTCGCAGTTTCCAAAGAATGCTATCCTCCATGGAACATTCATTTCTTTCCTGTCCGCTGATCATCTGCTGAGTGGTTTTCATACTGACTCTACAAGTATTTTGCTTCCTCCTCACGAAATTTACCTTTTCCCGGTAATTTACCCGATTCGCTTGTTTCACAACACCGCACGGTCCAGTGATTTGGCATCGCTTTCCCACCGTCTCAACTTCTGTCTGCCCTTTTGTTTACTGAGAATCTTTATCCTGGACCCTACCCGCGTTTTGCCGCGACTTTTTCTAAAAGGCAGATAGAGGTTGATCTTTATATAGTGAAAAATCGTCATATAATTTGTACAATGATTTGTAAACGCTTATGGTCAGATTCCTCTGAAATGAACCTAAACGACTAATTACTTTTCACCTGGTTAGGTATTTGAGGTTCGTGTTCTACGACTTCTCTGCAACAACGGAAGACAGTTCAGTACACCACTGTTTAATGCTGTAAAGTGGAGAGGTCAACTTAGGCCCATTCTGATAATGAGTATGACTCATTGTGAACTAAACTAAGGTAACAAAACTGGATTTGTGGACATGTGGGTCCCCGTGTATCATCCTAATGCGCCAGTTATAACCCATATATAACACTATTTTCCTTTAAGAAGGAAAATGGCAGGATAATTTTCATAGTAACATTCAAAGGCTACTGTTGTTCTGAAGGCGAAAAACTAGTTATAACTACCGCTGTGAGCACTCACTTTCACGTTTGAAAACGAGGCTCCTAATGTGCGTTATTTTTTGTGGTAGAAGTCGGCAGTATCTTCGAATAATTGACCTCGGTATTTCACCCACAAGGTTATTAGAACGTTCAGTTAAAACCGAACTAATTAGTTCAATGTGTACCATTCAGAGGAAACCAAATGATCTCATTATGTAAAACGTTATTTTTCGGATTCGTTCTGTTGTAAACGTTCTTGTTCCGTATGTGTATTTCTAAATGAACACAATCCAACCAAACCATGCTAATTTCGCATACAATGGTTGTGGTCATACTGAATGACACTTCTCCAATAGACGGCCTCGTTCATTTAGTAGACAACATGTTATCATGTACTGTGAACCAGGGACAAGATGAGGGATGTCACATTATCCCCTGTCCATAAAATTCGACAACATTGAACACAGCAAAATAGAAAAGCGAAACCGGACAAGGCCTGGTCAACCAACTTAATTACAATCATAATAACTAATCGGATGGGTCGTCTAGGATTTTGAGTGAACCAATAGGCTTTTATGATAGTTTTGGTCAATATCACCATTCACCCAACCTTACCAATATGTTTATGACAGTAAATCGGAGTGACCAGGTACCAGGGATCTTTTCCTACTGAAGTCAACGGATGGTAACGAAATACAGTTTTACCAACGACACCGACGACGTGTGACAATATGTAGCGTTTTGAGCACCGAAAGTCCTGCTTGAGTATGAATTGGAATGAGCTTAAACGACTCTTTAAGCATCGAAAATATGTTTGTGATTTGCCATCAAAAACTTAGAATGAAATTTGCATATGATCGCAGTGAGCTACGAGAGAAATGATCGAATAAAACTCCGGAAGTCTGGGCGATCCAAATTGGTTGAATGCAACAGAATTGTGTCCTAACATGCCACCTCGTTATTATACTTATTTGAATGAAATCTGCTCGTTTAACCCATACCATATGCTGAGTCTATGAGATTTCGGTCTGTGAAGTCAAAGTCAAAGTTACAGCCAATCTGTTTGATGGGCGGTCGAAGAATAAAGAACGGAAAGGAGCCGAGCTTCTTGCTTGTGGAGAGTATACCAAAAATTTGAAATTTTAAACATGACCTAGTAAAATTGCCGCATAGAACAATGGATGATTTATTAGATTTGCCTCATCAAAGATACTCACTGATGTGGAGCCTTTGACGGTTAATTTTTCACAAATAACAAACACGGAAATATTTGCTGATTATTGGAAAAGATTGACAACGGAACATGCGAAAATGTAATCCTCGAGAATGTGGTGAAAATTGAAACAAGGGAATAAGGCTGAACTAATTAAACTCAACCAAATTTCACAGGTTAGCAAAACAAGGAAATTTTGAGTCTAGCATGTGATTGACACGCTTGAAAAGCAGCACATGTCCCGTGAAAAAATATTGGTTTCCTGCTCTGACCACAGAGCTAAAAGGTCGTAAAATATGGTGATGATTGAATCGGAACGTTGTTTTTGGCAGTGAATTACGAAAGGAGAAATAGACAGCCGTGTTTAGGCAATGGTTCTTTGCAAAACGTTCGCAAAGCGTTCTTTCGGAACAAGCAGTCTCAACAGGTAGGGAATTGCCGAGCTAAAAACATCGTTCACAGTCGGCATTATTTCAACTTAAATGCACTACGTGTAGCAGCATGGAAATTGAAGCAAAACAGCGAGGGACAAATGAGTTAACCTGGTAAGCTTCATGAGAAAGTACAGTACCAAAAGTAATGTACTTTCCGGAAAATGTATTTCTCCTTGAAATCTAACAACTCAGATTAGAATATCTTTCGAAAATTAGAAATGGATTAAGGATACCCTTG